TGATCTCCCTGTACAGTGCCAGTTAACCAATTTTTAAGCAGTGTTCTTAATTGGAATGAATCATTTTGCAAAGGCTAGAAATTTCAGAAAATAATGAGATTCTTAGGAAATGGAAGAAGTCCCACTCTATTTTATCAAAACTGCAACATATGGAAAAGCCTTAAAATTAGCCTCTTCACATCAGATTCATTATTATAAACTCATTTTGCTCATTAATTGATAAAACATCAAAAAGGGGTGAGCAATTCAGAGTCTCCCAGCTAGCACCAAGACTGTCCTTTTTTTTAACGAGAAGCTAGGCCAGAGTGAGGTCATAAAGCATTCAATCAAGCTGGGCCTTTCTCCAGCAGAGCAAAATGTAGGTGTTTGTAAGTATGGGTCTGTCGTGTGATTGGAATCCAGAAAATCTGAATGGCACATCCCTACTGACAGTTCTTGTGGTACTTGCTGTGCCATCTTTAGTCATCAGTAAACACCAGCCTGTATGTATGTTGGCTGCACTGTGGGGGCAGCCAGATTATGAAAAGAGAAGTGTAAAGATTGCAGGCAGATCAGTCTGAAGCTTTCTCCCCACTACCACCTTGTCCCGTGTCAACCTGTATGTTCTCTGGGACTGAAGAGAATTGTAAATGAAACTGGAGATGTAAAATTTCCATTTTTTCCCAGAAAAAAACTGGGAGAAACGTATGTGTGTTTTTCTGGAAAAAATGGAAATTTTCAGAACTTTTGCATCTCGAAACTGAAGTAGGCTTGTTATTAGCAAAATGTGAAGGGTTCCACAGGAATCCAGCAAAGCATGGGGATAGGACAACTGCCCTGTTTGTTGAAGGGCAGAGGTGCCTACAGATCCAGGCCATTAGCTTAGTACTGATTTTTGTTTTTATTGTTGCTGCTGCTGCTATCATCTCAGTGCATATCACTTCCCAAAACTGGATAAAACCATGCCTCAGAAAGTGGGAACTGTGTGCCTTTCCTTTTTCCCTCCATGTATCAGCAAGCTTTGCTTTCCTCCTCAGGGCACCAACCGCATCCTCTCTGAACGGAGATCGGAGCAAAGGCGTCTGCTGAGTGCCATTGGTTCCTCTGCCATCCTTGATAGTGATCTTCTGAAGCTTAACCAATTGAAGGTATCCAAACTGCCCAGTTCAGCAAATGGACGCAGGAGAGTGGGACTGGGGATGTTGAATGATGATCCCAGCACATCCCTTGGATAAAACAGGAATGCGAGCTGGCATTCTTTTGTGTCCTTTGTGTCTGGGGAAAACCAGCTGTTCTCTCAGGTTAAATTGTCTGAGCAAAGCCCTAGTATCCATTAGAGAGAAGATCTTCCATCTATAATTCTTGAGAAGGGTTTGGTACTGTCTTCAGAAGCCAAATCTGGGGGGGCGGGGGCGGGCGGGGCGTGAAAGTCCATGGACAGAGCTTTGTCCAGGGAAACCACTTTCCATCTGTGAGCCAAATTCCGCTTCAGAGAAATTACAGGAACACAGGCAAAAGCGTAGGACCAAATATACCAGCATATTGACTGACTCACACAGCCAGTCATTAAGCTTTAGCATTTTTAATCTTTCAGAAAGTTGGAGAAAAGATGGGAAGCCACTAAACAGTAGTTTCATGAGGAGGGCCCCTCTGGGCTTTGAGGGAAAGAGTTAAGTCACTCGGATTATGAGCTATGGCATTTTTTAAAAATTCTGCCATTTGATACCTTTAGATGACAGACTCCTCCTTTCTTGAAGGTTAAGATGACAACGTTTCTTGATTGGTTTTGCATTGCATTATCTTTTGTGTTTGTATGTTGTGAGGCTACATCTAGTTTTGAAACTGAAGGACTAATACTCTTAGAATAGAGAAAACCCTGAAAGGAGATTATTGGGAACCTAAACTGTGTGCTCTGTCAGTTTCACATGCACACAGACTAGGGGTAAGGACAGTAACTTAAGGACATAACCACTCACTCCCAACCAGGTTCGTCTCTGTACACACCTTCTCTTCTTTCCTGGCAGTTCCGCAAGAAGAAGCTCCGGTTTGGCCGGAGCCGGATCCACGAATGGGGCCTCTTTGCAATGGAACCGATCGCTGCGGATGAGATGGTTATCGAGTACGTAGGTCAGAACATCCGGCAGGTGAGCATCTGTGGAGTTTAAAGCGTAAAGAAGGGGCTTCATTTCTACTGCCTTGGTAACTGGTAGAAGAGTCTGTAATACCAGAACATCACAAGTGGGGTCCTAAAGTAGTTGATCATCCTTTCTGTATATGTACCTTCTTGCAGCTGAATGTGGCACATTAAGAGGGCCACGGTATGAATTGAGGTCAGACACCTGACTTGTTCCCTCACACATCTTTTCTTGTGCCATATCTTTGTTATGTTTCCCATTTTTGGCACTGTGGGGGGCATTTTTGAAGGGAGTAATGAATTGCGTAAAAATTTAGCCTGCAGCTTGACTTGTGTTTAACCTTTTGTGTCAGCCATCTGTGTGCTTGAAGCACATGCAGTTAGTTGGCACTAGGGGGTGCTGGTGAAGCTGCCTGGAGCTCTTCATTGCTACCTTGGGAGGAACCATTTACTTCCTATAAATATCAGCCTTTCTTTGTAGTTACAGCTGGGTTTTTTTTTCACCTTTCCTTTCGTCCCCTCCCCCTTTATTGGTCTGATTGAAGCACATACATGTGGAAATCACTGCTGTCATGGTTTTTTACACTGAGAAGGAGTCCCACAACTCTTAACGCCTTCCTCTCAGAGGCCGATAGTGTCAGGCCTGGATCCTGTTGCATTTCTGCTGAGCAGGAAGTCCTGCCGGTGCAGCAGTAGCATAAGATTGTCTTGTTTGTAGAAGTATCACTGTTGCACAAGAGAAGAAGGGTTTTTCCCTAGGAAGGTGACTGCTTGCACAGCGGCAACCTTTTGGTGAGCAACAGGCATGATCTCACATTATTACACTGGTGGAACTTTTCACTCAAGAAGAGCTCATTAGGATGCCAGTCTCAACCTCCAGACCTATATGATTAACTGCAGACCTTCCTTTGATAGAGCAGCCTTCGTTTCTGTCACTTGTTACATTCATCAGTCTCTCCCATGCTCGTTCTCCTTTCAAGATGGTTGCTGACATGCGCGAGAAGCGATATGCCCAGGAAGGCATTGGAAGCAGTTACCTTTTCCGTGTGGACCATGATACAATCATTGATGCCACCAAGTGTGGTAACCTGGCACGCTTCATCAACCACTGCTGCACGGTGAGTTGCCTAGGAATCACAGAGAAACAGATTTCTGGTCCCACTTCAGCAGCCATCATCTATGTGGTGTTTTTATCAAATAAACTGAACTTTTATCTTGCCACCAGTGAATGTAGTGATTTTTAGCTTGAAAAATTTCACTTTTTAAAGACAGAAACTCCCAGACAATTCCCCTCCACCCTCTGCTAGCACACTGATGTCTTCTGAGGATATGGCTAGAGAATTCAGAGAGTTGAGTCCAATTGGAAATATAAACCACAACAGAAAAAATCCTAAAGCCCCTGCTCCTGGGAGCTTAACATTTCTCAGCTTTATTCAGATGTTGAAATCGGCAACTCTGTAATACCATTAAAACGTGCCAGACTGGGGCTTCAGCAGCTACAGAGAGAGGTGTGAGAATAGAAATGTAAACATCAAGAAGAGGGAATCAAACGGGTTTTTGTTGTGATTCATGAGCAGCCTTTTGAGAAACCAGGAAGAAGGATCTTTTTCACTAGCTCACCTTTTGTTACCAACTGCCAGGTTTTACTTAACAGGTAGTGGGTCTAATGTCCCCTTGCTTTTCATGTGTACTAGAGGCTAAAGTGTTGATTCTGAAGGGGTCATTTCTAGATTCTGGAGAGGCACATGGCTCTGGGGTTGGCGTGGAGCTAACCTGTTACTTGCAAGACTAGCTCACTTCTGTTCCTCTTTTCCATCTTCAGCCCAACTGCTATGCCAAAGTCATCACGATCGAGTCCCAGAAGAAGATTGTCATCTACTCTAAACAACCCATCAGCGTCAATGAGGAGATCACTTATGACTACAAGTTCCCAATTGAGGAGAACAAGATTCCTTGCCTGTGTGGCACAGAGAATTGTCGAGGCACCCTGAACTGAGGCATAATCACGGCACTCATATTTATTTTGTTTTCCTGACTGTCCTTTCCTCTTCCCTTCCCTCCATTCTCCCCTGTAGCTTAGCTCCTCTCCCTACCATGTTGTAGGGGAAAACTTTCAGTCGCCTTAAGACCCATCCAGTTTTTCAAGTTACTAACCAACGAGAAAGCACTTCCCTCTTCTCAGGTTTTAAATCAATGATAAATCCAATTTTTTTCCTCCTTTAGGCAGCTGGCAATCTGTGATTTGGTCCTCACTGGGAAATCAAAATTTAAAATGTAGACTCAATACTTTTCGCAGACATTAAATACTCTTCCTTGCGCTGAAAAAGAAGCTGAGGGTGCTTAATTGTGGTTAATTCCGCAAGCCCAAGAACCTCTGCTTCTGAGCTTGAGAGGCATAGCTTGAATAGGCTGAGAAATGTAGCAGTCAGGCGTTCCCTTCTAAATGTCCTAATTTCAGTTTGTAGATCTCTGACAGGCAGCCGTTGGTTAGCGACCTTTTTCGAAACGCCAGGTTATGAGCATGTGTGCCAGGGACACTTTTTGAGGCAAGGTGACGCTTGAATCAGACCGAGGAGTTGTCCCAGCCCTTGAAATGTAAAGATGGTTGTGCCTTTTGCTTCCCATCTTTGTTCCAAAAGTGAAGGTAGTGTTGCAGCATTGGTGAGAGAGAAAGAGACGGAGGGAGTTCTGTGGGTTTAAACATTCCTCTGTATGGCCAGAGAGCTCTGAAATTATCATTCTTCAGCATTAATGGTTTAGATATATTGTTGGGAGCAAAAACTTGAACCACCTTGGTTAAGGTAATATCTCCTGATAGAATAGCCCTCCCTTTTTATTCTGCAAAGCACTTGAGGCTATAGAAGTAAAGGTCCTGAAAATCCATGGGATTACATTGTGCGCATTGTAATCTCATTGTCCTTTTTTTCCCCTTTCCTTCTGCTCTGACCTTTAATGTAGTGAGGAGGAGAAAAACCATTTATCCGTAATAGTGAGGGAGGGGTTGGTTTTCTTTCCTTGCTACTTTGTGGCTTCAACCGAGCTGACTTGCAGCGTAAGCTAAGAATTTCCCACAACCCACCACCCCTGATAATTTTTCTTTAGGAGAAGAAAGTTGTGTATATATCTATTCCAGATGGATTGGCTGTTTCTTGTAGAAACACATGTTTATTGGTATGTAAATATTGTTTGTTTTTCCACTTCATACTAAAAAAACTGTAAATAATGTTGCTGTGTATTTCCTTCTCCTGTTTCATCTCCACTTGCACTGTGCCACCCTTTTCTTTTCAGGCAACATGGATTTTCTCTCTCTCTCCTGGGGAAAAGTACATCACCTCAGTGGTGCATTGGAGGGGTCGAAATGTGTTTTTCTTGTTTCATCGAAATGGACATCAGTTTTGAAAGGTGAAAGGCTTTGAAACAAGGCATGTGGAAACATATTAGCAGGATTTTTTTTTAAAAAAAGAAACCTTTTTAAAGAAATCTGCCATTCTCTTTGCCAAATGGTGGTGTTCTCAGTGGTGGTGAGCCGTTCCCTCCTGAGAGCACTTTTGCTTCTGGCTTGTGTTCCTCTGTGTATTGCCCACAGCCATGAGTAATAGGGTGCCTACGCATGAATGTTGTTTGCTTACTGGGAGCAGGTTCTCAGGGAATAACACACTATGTCTCCAGACATGGTCTTCTTACGGAATTTGAATCCTGGAAATGTGGGTCAGGGGCAAGATGCTTTTAGGGAAGGTTCAGGAATACAGAGTCGTCTTCTTCTTGTTGCTTTCCTTGTGCTGCCGTGCTCATCTGAAGGAAAATTGCATCTGATGGGCTGAATTGTATTTATTAGTCCCAAGCATAGCAAGTTCACTAATCTAATATTACTTAACCTAAATGGGGACATACCAAGTTCCCCGTAGATTATTGGGTCTCCTCAGGAATTGCCTGTTGGATTTAGGCCTCAGATACGAAAGTAGGAACTGCCTGTTGGATTTAGGCCTCAGATACGAAATATGGTTTGCCAACTCCATGTTTGCTGAAAAGGTGGCATTTTCAGGAGAAAAAGTGCTGGCCTTAGACAAGACGTACTTAAACGTTCCGCTCCTTTGCTGCTTCTCACCCTGTCCTCCCATTCCTTGGTCCCCATTTCTTCCCTGCCTCTCCCCCTCCATTTGTGGGAATGAGCCTGTCCAGGAAGAAAAGTTGCAGAGGAGGAACCGTGGCAACCTCCCGCTGGTCTCTCCTCCTCCTCCAGTTTTCATTTAGCAAACTTCATTGGAAGCTGATGCTGTTAGCTGATGGTTCATCTCAACTTTCCTCCAGCATTTTGAAGGCTGCTTATGGACTAGTGGGCAGCATCTTCTCACTTTGCTTCGTTTTTGATGAGCTATCTCCTATGCCACCTTTCTTTTTGTAATCTCTTAAGGAGCAAGTTTAAGGCTGCCAAGGTATGTGCGTTGAACTCTGCAGCATGATCTCTACATTGTCTTCTTGCATTCTTCTATGAAGCAGGAGTCATAGTAGTCAGTTTGAAACATTTCTGAGAGATTTTCTTTTCAGGCAAACACAGTCTTTGTATCTTTCCTAAAAACTGTTGAGTCTTGAGGCCTACTCTTCCCATAGCTAGAGAAGCGGAAGTACACCCAGTCTGTTCCTTTCAAAGACAGGAGATTTTTACCCAATTGATGCTTTTTGGAGCAGTGGTAGGTCTTCTGTTCCCAGCAAAACCTTACCATTTACCATTTATGTGTTTCTATACCTTTTTTCTGTCTTCAGAATACATCTTAGCAACTATTGTGGTAGATTGGAAAGCTTGAAGTGGCACCCACCTTGTTGCTCTCACACACGTGCGTGAAAACCTTCAAATTTATTTCTATTACTTAACGCTGGTTCTATTCTCAAGCGGCATCTTGTCCTGTTTGGCTGGTTTGGATTGCGAGGTACAAGTGGAATCCTTCACTATTCTGTTTCCTTTTTTTTTTTTACTGTGTGTTACTTCCCCTTCTTCTTGTCAGTGTTCCTACAACCATGTTATTCCATTCACTTCTGGAAGAAATACCTCATATGACATCTGCTGGTGGCATTCCGAAGGAAGACAATTGCACACATGAAAAACTGCGCTATCCATTAAGCCACCCCATCGCACTGCAGTCTAGCTTTTTCTAATCCCTTTCGCCCTCGACTCATGACTATTTCTACATGTTAGGTAAACTTCAAAATAAATCAGGTGCTGTTAGTTAATGTGGTGCCCCTTGTCAAGTTCTCTTTTTATCCCCAAAGACCCTGTGTAAGTTGGAGAAATGCTGTTTTGTCTAGTGTGTTTTCCCAGATCAGATCACTTGAATGTTGAATTTTTAATGGCTTCTGCTCTTCCATTGGTAGGCTTGAATACAATTGCTGGTCTCATCTCAAGTGGACGTATTGAATCGATGCTTAAGTGACTGTAGACTTCAGCAGTTGATTCTCTGGGTCTATTCTCATTGAGGCTAGCCATTCCATTCAGGCCACAGCTTTTTAAAATTCTTCATTTTTATGCTCCCCCCCATTGGGATGTGTGTGTGTGTGTTTGTTTTTAGTGATGCAGCTACTTTGCTTTCTTCACATTATTTTTTGGAGATCAGGTACTTCCTATTTGAGTTTCACTCAGTTGTAAACTGTGCTCCTGCCCCTTTAAAAACCAGGCGCCAAGATATGGCTGAAGTCTTTATACATGCTTTTGGCAGGGGATGGGAGTCATTGTTTTTACAACCCTCATTCAAGTCTTCTCTTTCAGTAGCTCCAGTTGCTGCAGGACTGTGTCATTCTAAGCCTTAAGGGTTGAGAAGGCAGAACATTTCAAATCTCCTTTCTCAGTAGCTACCTAATAACTACAATAAACAAACTGCTTTTTTTAAAGCCACTGAACTGACATGCTTTTAAACAAACTTGATCAACTCTGGTTTTAAATTGAACTTGGGTAAGAGCAGACCTTGCTGAAGATCTTGGTTTAATGATGCATGAGTTACAAATAAGTGTACTTTTAAGCACAGTGCATTAGCAACAGAGATAAAGTGACTGAATCACAGTTTCTCTGAATTGTTTGGGGGCAAGCTTTTCAAAAGCTGACCAGATACAAGCAAATTAGCATGACACTAGGCATTTGGTGTGGTTTTTTTAAAAAATCATTTAAATAGTTTCTGCTGAAAGCATGTGCAACTGGACATGCAGAGAAAAGTGACATCATTGTGACCTCTAAATAAGGGGAAGTTTGGGCTGTTTTTAGAATATTGCTTCCCATTGTTTTATTCTTGTCGTATAAGATACCCAAAGGATTAACTCCTTTCCTTTCTTTTTCCCTTTGCTGTGATATACAGTACTGAGACAGAGAATATCTTAGAGTAGTGCTTTCCGAGTTTCCTACCAGCATTTCACTACTTTCAGCAACATCCCTGCTATATTTTTGGTGGGGTTTTTTTGTGCTATGATGGGAATATTCCTAATAAGATTAAATTTTAGCCACTTTCTCTGCATGGACTGTTGTGCCTTTCTCGGATATGAATAGAAACCATTTGTTAGTTCATTCCTACAGCTCATTCTTAAACTAATCATCTACATCAATCCCCCGTTAATTTTATGAAAACGTCTCCATGCCCAAGTGTTTAAATGTAAGCTTCAGGAAGCTTTTATTTTATTCTCCCACTACCACCTTAGAAAGAAGTCTAACAGTGTTGAGCAGTTTGATTTTTAACCCATCTCTGCAGTTGTGTGATCCTGCATCCATCTCAACCGTATATTTCTGAACAGCAAAGAATGAGCAATTCACACTCAAAAATGATAGCCATCTAAACTGTGTCAATGAAGTTTCCAAATGCTTTATCAAAATAACCACAAAAGTTCTTCCAACTTTTCAAAACTGACTGCTATTTCCCAGCTTGTAAGGCTGAAGGATTGTTGGATTACCTATGCTTTTTCCATGTGCTTTCCCCCCCATTGTATATATATATATGTAAAAAAAAGAGATAGATATTAAAAAAATCTCTATACCAGGGAGGGTTATAGTATTTAACTTTCTCTTGCAGCATTGGTAGCTTGCTGAAAGTTTTGTGTTTAATGCAGAGATTGGAAATGTGCGCACATGGACAGATGGATACAGTTTCTCTCCTTCCCTTCTTTGTCTGCTCAGTGAATGCTTCTCAACTGTGTATATCTACCCTTCTGTCTGTCTATATAAATATTATATATATAGATTATATATATATAAATATATTTTCATTTGATCTTATTGGCTTCCTACTTGTAAATATGTTAATAATTTGTGGATTCATTACTTGGTGCCAGATAGCACATTTTTATAAAAGTCATTAAACTTTTATTGTACAAAATAAAAGCATGAGCTTTGTCCTTCTGTGTTTGCGGCTGGGTGTACACAAAAAGGCCTGTTTACTATGGGATCCCAACCTAATGCTATAAGTCCATGGTTCCCAACCTTAAGTCCGCAGATGTCCTTGGACTCAGAAGCCTTCACCGCTAGCTGCATTCGCCAGGATTTCTGGGAGTTGTAGTCCATAATCATCTGGGGACCCAAGACTGGGAACCACTGCTGTAAGTCATGGATGGAAATTCAGTTATATTTTGCCAAAGGAAAACATCAGGGAGGCTGGGGTTTTCAAGACCATTTGAAGGACTGTTTTGGAAAAACCCATGCTTGAAAAAGTACTAGTGTTATTTGACCGTTTAAGGCAGGAAGAAACTAAGCTATAGTCCTAGGACTGTTCCCCAATAACTGGGGATAGTCTGCAGAATGTAAGGCTGCCCCAGAGTAGTCAGAAGAGCAAATGGAAGTAGGTTTGTGGGCCAGTTTGGTTCCCTGCTTATGAGGTTAGGGGTAGCTTGGAATTTTCCAGCATGAGTCCAGTGACCTGGCATCTTCCAGTACTCAGTAGCATTTGTTTATACAGTATATTTGTAGTGGGCAGAGTCCTGTTGAAGAAATATGCCAGTGTAAGTGACTTGACACGCAACTAGGAATGCCAGTAAGCAACTCATTAATTTTTGGTAAGTCACTACCACAATTGAAACCACTCCACTCAGCATAAATCTCCAAGAAGATTCTGACTTCCTTTTAAAAAAATTACATTTTTACTAATTTAAGTGCATACTTGTCACTTAACAAAACTAGTTTTACTTGACTTAGGATTTTTTTTTTAAATTGTTCGGCCTCTATGCATTCCTTTCATAAAAGTCTGTGTTTTTTGTTATTTGAACTCTGTGATAATGGAATCAGAACAACTGAGTTGGAAAGGGCTGATAAGGCCACCGAGGCCAACCCCCTGCTCAATGAAGATATCGGTGTCTAAGCAGATCTGACCTATGATCATCCAATTTTCTCTTGAATGCCTACAGCACTAGAGTGCTCATTACTTTCTGAGGTCATTGGTTCCATTGTACTGCTCTGACAATTAAGTTTTTCCTGATACTCAGTCTCAATCTGGCTTCCTGTAGCTTGATCCCATTCTTGCGTGTCTTGCACTCTAGGATGATCAAGAACAGATCCTGCCCCTCTGTATGGCAGTCCTTCAAGTATTGGAAAAGTGTGATTGTATCTCTCCTTAGTCTTCTTTTTTCAGTGCTAAACATGCCCAGTTCTTTCAGCCTTTTCCTCATAGGGCTTAGTTTCCAGTTCCCTGACCATCCTTGTTGCTCTCCTCTGAACTTGCTCCAGTTTGTTGGCATCTTTCCTAAAGTGAGGTGTCCAGTCCTCTAGATCAGTGGTTCTTAACCTTGGGTTACTCAGGTGTTTTTGGACTGCAACTCCCAGAAGCCTTCACCACCAGCTGTGCTGGCTGGGGTTTCTGGGAGGTGCAGTTCAAAAATACCTGATTAACCCAAGGTTAAGAACCACTGCTCTAGATGAGGCCGAACAAGGACCAAATAGAGAGGGCCTAGGACCTA